AATAATAATAATAATAATAATAATAATAATAATAATAATAATAATAATAATAATAATAACAATAATAATAATAATAAATAATAAATAATAATTTTGTAATATTCGTAGGTTTTGTTAACAAAGTATATTCTTTATTATAAATTTGAATGAATAATTATTTTAGTGCGCATGTACTGAAACATCTTCATTTTATAATTTTTGTATTCCTCAAACAAACAAAATTTATTGTTTTAATCCTATATTTGTCAATTACAAGTAAGCACAAAACAAAAGTGTTAAATTAAATTAAAATTAAATTCATCTTTTCAAATCGTTCATTTCCATTACTTCATTTCAATTTTTTCGTTTTTACTTTTACTTTTTTTTTATGTTTGCACTTTTTATTTTTATATCATTTCGCAAATCTATATGCAATTATACCTAATTGAATTAATTTCCTTTAAAATGTATCGAATCCAAGAAAGGAAAAAACTTTTCATTTAAAATAAGCTTCATCTAATTTATTTGCTTATCATTACTGATAATAATATCAATAATGAATTCATTGGAATATCTTTCTTCGCCTTCTTTTTCTTCCTTTTTTGTTCTCTGATCAATTGCAAAATTTTTTTTTTCTGCAAAACTTACAATGGAAGGAAATGAAAATGTGAAGAAATATCGAATAAAAAAAAAGAAAATAAAAAAATGCAAAAAAAAATCGAATAAAAGAAAAAAATTCTGAACAATCCAAACAAATTTGAGCAAATAATTACATATATCCCCTATTTTTCTTTCTTTCATTTTTTTTTTTTTGCAATAAAAATTTGAATTATTTCGATTTGAGTAAGCAAAAAGAACATTTTATAAATTCATATATATTTCCTCAAAATGATATTTTAATCACTTTTTTTTTTTTTGATAAGACTTTCGATCAAAAATTTTTATTATCAATTCCTATTCCTTAAGTGTTATATTCCAATATAATATAATTATTCGTTTGTATAAAAATAAGAAAAAAAGTTTAAAAGTCTTCTTTTAAATCATTAAAGTTTTTCGAAATTTGTAAAATTATCAGCGAATAATAGTAATTTTCTTCTTTTACGAATGATAAATTATCTATTATTATGCTATAAATAATTATACCATTTTGAGCTAATTATAATTCATATGCAAATTTTAAATTTAATCATTTTCATTGCAAAAAAAAAGGAAAGAAAAAAAATTGGGCGAAATATTTTTCAGTGATTGTGAAAATAAATTATTAAAATGATATATAATGTATATGTAATGTGTAATTTAGTTTTTACTAATTTGTGAATAAATATTAAATGAAAATGAAAATTTGATAAATCGTAAGAATGCAAAAAAGAAAAAAATTTTTCTGTTTAACAAATTTGAATTTCAAATGTAATTTAGTTTAAAAGAGCTCGAAAGACAATGAATATTATTGCAAAAAAGAGCAATGTTAAAGAAAATAAAATATAAATATAGTTTTTTGAAAGTAAAAAGTTTTTTTTAATTACTTTCTCACAATAAAAATAATGCCATCATATTTAGCATATATATATATATATATATTGAAGGATAGCAATATTAAATAAAACTTATGAATTAAAAAAGAAAACACTACTTCGAGAGATTTCATCAAAAATTACTACAATACATACTAATAATAATTATACAACAATAATAATTATAGCAATAATAATAATAGTAATAATAATAATAATAATAATAATAATAATAATAATAATAATAATAATAATAATAATAATAATAATAGTAATAATAATAATAATAAAATACAATAGTAATAATAACCAATAATAGTAGTAATTAATAATAACAATAATAATAATAATAATAATAATAATAATAATAATAATAAAGTAGTAACTATAATAAAAATGCTAGGAATATGAGCGTTTCATAGGCAACCAAGGTATGGGGTATATCATCATTTCATCGAATGTATGACAATCCTTTCATGACATTCATTCTAACATTTACTGTTATTGCTTTGTGTTACATCGTATGTCATAACAAAAGTATTTCAAAAATACATTATCATAACAATACACAAAAGTTAGTTAACAAACATTCTAGAATGTCCAAAACCATCCAAAACGATTAACATTAACATACATACATCCATATACACATACACATGCACACACATGCGTACACACGTACACATACTCACATATATAAATCCATACCCGCACTATTGCTCATCCAACCCACTCCCCTCCCATAAGCTAATATCGTGAAAATTTTGCTCATCCTTCTTGATTTTTGCTCATCTTTCGTGATTTTATCTTGATAACATAGCCTGAACCTGATTTTTCCTTAAATGGTTCTCTGGCCATTACTTTATTTCCTTCTCAATGAATTGAAAGAAAAAAAAAAGGAAACTAAATCACAGTGGAACAAGATAAAATCTGATGACCCTGTCTGAAAAAGAAAAGAACTTCTGATTTTTTTGAAAAATACAAATACTTTCTTGCATATATCACAATCATATATTCCAGTTCCTCATTAATAACAGTGCGGAAAAAAGTGTAGAACCCGCAGACAAAGTATGTAGTTTTCTTTCATATAAGGCTTAGTGCATTACTAGTCGGAAGCTGTAATAATATGTTTGGCTTTCACGGAACTAGAACTCTTGTTCTGCACTTCTTGATGATCTTCATAACGAAGTACATCAAATATTGGCCGCTGAATTTTCGAATCGATATCCGGGTTCATCAACTTCTGCTTCAAAATTTCTCTACAAAAAGATGAAAAACATCTCGTTTGGTCAATCAAATTTGCTTTCTAAAGTCATAAAAATAAAAGTGGCGCATAAGTCAAAATAGTACTTATATAACTGACTGCCTGACATGACTTTCATAGTAACAATATCGCGGCAACATAAACAGTAGTGGTAAGTTCAAAGCCGAACCAAACTCTTTTCTTGGCAGTGAGTTGTATTTAAATTCCAAAGGACAAATCGGAAAAAAAACAGAAAATTACCCAATTTTGCAATTAGACTCATCGTTGTTACAGTCTGTTGTCCAAATACTGATCTAAAAATGATAACATTGGCTTATTGATTACTAACCCAGCTCAAATAAATACCAAAGGCTTACCTTGGATCCCTTATTTCTTATGTTGACAACTACACCACATATGTCCGCCGTATATTTACCGAATTGTTGACCTATCACAGCCAGCAGCACTTCCAACCAAATCACATCCAGCAAGTCATGATGCCTAGACTTGTCAATCTGTAAACATATCAGATAGCTAAATAAGTTACGATAATAAGAAAGTCCAGAAAGTCAGCCAAAAGTCCAAAAGTCCAAAACCCGAAAGTCCGAAAATCCACCAGAAAGTCCAAAAGCATTCGAATTTTCAGAATAGAGTTGGGATGTGTATAGCTCTATATAATACTATCTATATAATCATTACGGTGAAATCAAGTCATACCGTTATCAGCCAACGACCACCTTTAGCGTTTTCCGGAACCTCCCACATCGGTTGAATATCCTTTTTGAAAACACTATAGTCGCATGCCGTTGGTAACAATGATGGTGGGCGAATATTAACATAAAGACTGAAATTCAAAAAGCTATAAATTTGCGTAAGAGTTGGCTTCCTTAAATGAGAAAGGACTATTTACTCGGTCTCAGAGACTCCCAGAAAGGAACAACTTTCTGGAATTCAAACTGCAGAACGCAGTTTGAATTCTAGAAAATTGTCAAGTCCTTTTTCTCATAATGGGACAAATACCATCGCTATCAGTTGATCAATAATGTTAAAGCTTAAGGCATTGAGCGAATTATTTCAAGTTTTTATAGGTTATGCTATATGTATTATTTCGATACCAACCGTTCCGAATAAGGATCAAGGGTAAAGAAAATGAAATTACCAGTTCCTAAGAAAGGGAAGAAAGTGAAAGGGTAGAAGGACTTATATGGGTAAAAGTAATGCAGCGAAACCATTAATGATTTCAAAGAGACTGTGCACCTTAGTAGTTCTTTGTAAACCACATGGTATCCATAGAGACATGACTGAAACTAAAAGGTACTAAAAAACACTTACGCCCAAAATTCTTCCACCGTGCTAAAGTTAGACACAACTTTAAGCCGTTTTTCCCAACTTTTGTCGCGCTGATCGTTCAAATACCAATACGTCCAAATGTACTTCAGTGGATGACTCGAAATTAACGTGTCAGTTTTCTGAAAACAAATGCGAATTATTCGATCAATCCGTAATTCCATAAGGAATAAAGGAGTTGGAACAAACAGACATACCGCTTCCGGAGAGCCACAAGAAAGATCCGTTTCCTCATCTGGATGATGAACCGCATCACCGTTACATTTTAACATAACCATCATTTCAGGGTCTGATCGTTCCGGCGCTAAATCATCAATAGCCATAACGGTATCTGTTCTGTAAGATTAGTTCATAAGTATGCATCATATAAGTATGCATCATAAACAGTATCGCGAAAAGTTCTTTGAAAAGTTTCTTTGGTTATTGGTGGTAACTCAGAGAGGAGGCACATAAACAGGCTAAATCCCAGGCTTCTGTAATTATAAAACTCCGATGTCAAGAAGGCTACCTACTTTGGCTAAGCAAATATCTCACCTAAGCCGAATTAGAGTAGGAAGGACACATCCTCAAAAAAGTCTTAAGGACTTTCCATAAATTTAACCTGATCGAAAACTATCAAGAAGAATACCCTAAAGATTACATCACCTGCCTCACTTCACCCGCCAGGTCCACCGCTAAAATCAGTAAGGGCGGCTTACCAATCCGCGAAATGCCAATCGGCCTGTTTCGGGTCAAATTTGAATGAAAGGTTGAGAAGTTCGCGAGGGGGTGGGGTGGACAGAACTTTTCGAATGGATGGGGTCTTTTGCGCCACCTTTCTTTGGGACAAAGTCTTACAGCTATTTGAAATATTTTGCTGATTTAAAGGCCTGAAGAGTTACTCCAAACAAAGTTCACTAAACCTAAAGAGTGAAAGATGACAAAGCATGAGCAAAGTATTCGGAATACTCTTATCTTGAATGACAGGACGAAAAAAATCAGCCTTTAAAAGAGTTAGGAATAGAATCAAAGAGAAATATGTAATAGAATTGAAGGATCTAAAAGGTTAGGGTCAGCTACAGTCTTTCGGGCATTTCGGCTATATCTAAGTGCTGTCGCTGACCATTATCGCATTTGCGGATTCCATCACCTCTGGAATTCATATGGATTAGGTTGAGCCGATCGGTTTCTCGGGTCAGTGAAGGGTCAAACTAACTTGAAATCGAATTTGAATTATATTTGTTGTATGCCTGCAGGAGCTGAAAGGATATCGTTACTGTCAGGATGAACAGATGTACTGTTCATTTTATACAGCAACGTTACTCCTCTATGTACTACCTTCAATACATCTCGATGTATCCCGAGGCATACTAGAAGTTTTTTTCTTTGAGACGGATCAGTTTCACTTTATGTCACATTTGATGGATGTTTATGAACGTTGGAATTCGATATGTTCAATAGTATGAAGTGGTGATGGAGAACTGAGATGAATTCCATTCTTGTGATAGCATAGTTGAGCTGATGACATACAACGATTTTGCGGGTAGGATGAATGGAACAATAAATGGAATTAATAATAGTACTGGAAAAATAGATAGAAATAATAAATAATTTGTTATCAGAATGTCCCCAATTATTATTTTTATTTAATATTCATTTACAAGCATTTTGATGTTTGTTTGCGTCAATATTGTTAAACGATTTGCTTACTGTTTGTTCATTCAAGTGCATATTTCTTGGATTGTTCCATTTGGAATGATGTAATATTGTATTGATTGCAACTATCGCATTCTTGGGTTTAACGCTTCAGTTCGACATCGATATGGAAAGGTAACGACTTCGGTTGTTACATCCTGAATCCTTTCTCGAAAAATGCTCGAAAAAATCACAACCTTACAATGTTGAACGTATGTCCAACATATGGTCATGGATATACTGTACAAAATTGTTTTTTTCTGTAAAAATTATCGGCCAGATACAATTTAGATAAACTTACTGCTGTTAGTATCATAGTTTGTAAGTGCAGTTTTTTATCCCATTATAGGTCAGCTTGATTTGGAAAACAAGTGGTGATTCAAGTCTGCGGGCTAAACTTCTCCCTTATTTGCAATCAGAATTATTGGTTCATCAATCATTCCACCTGCTCATTCTGTTATGTCAATATAATTATAAAGAACGCAGCGGATTTTTTTTTTCTGAAAAAGAAAATTGTTATTAACTTTCTTTATGTAAATTACTCATCCACTGTTTTTAATTAGTAACTACTTTTGACTCATTACCATATGTTATCGTAAAATCTGGACCCTTAAGTTCTACTTGTCAAATTCTGTTCAAATTTCAGATGGTTTAAGAGAAGCTGAAACGAGAAAAAATCCACGGAATGCAGGAGTTAGCAGAATGAATGCTGCAGCGACCACAACAGCATCATTCGATTCATCGGTTAAGAATAAGTAAATACTTCTTTTTCAAATTTTCTATTATTATTGAAATATTAGGAGCATGATAGGAAGTTCTAGATCATTCGGCCCAAGATTCGTTCCTTGATATAAAATGTTCAGGGCAGCCAATTTTCGAGTTGTTCACAATTATCCATTTTCTCTTGGTTATGGACTGTGGATGAGATATATTTAGAATACAGGCTATATTAATAGATGTAACATATGATTGTACATTGTAAGGCATTTCGTTGTGTCGAAAATTTGATTCAGTGCGAGATAGAATGTTCCCACTCACCTAATAAAAATATGGAGCATGGACAGCAGGATGATGTGTTTTTTTTTATTTGGACTTTTTAATGCAGCTTTTCTTCCCGTATGATTCAAGGGTGGCAGAGGCATTTCTGGCGAAGACATTTTTTGATATCATTTGCACTTCAAGGACGACGTATTTTTCTTCGAGAGAAGTGTTTAAAGGGACTAAACCACATTACAAGAATTAAAATCCTAAGACCCACGTGCAGTGGAAAAACGAGTGTCACCATTATAGAAGAAATGAATTACGTGCATGTATAACCATTCGACAGGTCATCGGGAAAGTACGTATTCAGTGGGGCAAGAGGTCGTGTCCGAAAGTTGATATGCCGGTAGCAGCAGGCCTGGTCCGATTCCATGCATTAACTCATCATGATGAGTTTCTTTTGTTAATTAAGCTGAGATGTTTAATTTTCTCTTGATTTCAAGCGATTTTTAAATTCAGGAGTGAGCCTGATTGGTCACTGGAAGATGTGGACTGTGTGTTACACTGGATCGCTGGTGGTACTATTTCTGAAAGGAAGGGAACAGAGCTACTGAATGTCATCTTTGGGAAATCTCTCTCTCGTTATACTGTTCGTTCGAAAGTGAGAGCATTAAAAGAAAAGGTAATGAAAGCATCGGAGAAAAACAAGCAAATAGGCTCCACTGACGGTATGAATTGTTCCACCGTCTAATGTTGCATCTGTTTGCTTATTTTTTAGTTAAGTTTTTTCCTTTTGTTTGCTTTTTCAGTTAAGTTAAGTAACAAGTTAAGTTTGATGTATTCTATCTTTTCTAATTTCGGTAAAGATGTTATGGGCGAGAAGTAACGTTTCAGTGAATATTTTCGAGAAATATTTACCAACGAAGGCTACTCTTGTTTTTGGAGCAGTTGTAGTGTGTGTGTTTTAGGAGCGTATATCTGCCACAACTAATACTGAGCTGAAAGAAAGTGACGATAACGATAGCGAATCTCAATATCGTATTGTGGAAGTAGAAAGTGTAATAGTTTTTTTTTTTTTTTTTTTTTTTTCAGTATTACCCACTTCACTTTTCATTTCAGGATGCCTCCGTTTTCAGGAGGCATTCTAAAATGAAATCAGAGATTTTAAAAACCAAACCCCTGAAAAGAGGGTTTGGTTTATAAAATCTTTGATTTCTCCACAACTGTAGAAACTTATGGAAATATTTTTTTAAACTACTGAATTATGATATAGTTCGGAAACTGAATGAACAATTCACTTGAGCTTCTTTCTCCGTTCTTTTTTCTTGAACCGGAAACTGAGAAAGGATTTGAGGTATCGAAGTTTTACTCTAGATAGTGATAAACGCTGTGCATAAGCACAAGCACTAAAAAAAGTGAAACAAACGTAAGTAATCTGGTTTTTGAGGATTCGAAATTCCTCTATCCACTCAAGAAAATAACTAATATTATATTAAGCTGCGATACTTTGCAGGAAAATGGTGATGTGAAAACATATACGGAGTTGATGAATTGCTCAGCTAGTTGTAGCGATGTAACATATGAAAATGGTGACACACTTTGGAGCACAGATGTCTACGACTTAAGTACCAAAGAGGAAACTAATGTTGGTTTTTAAATGCTGAAGATAATTAGTGATTTCAAGTCGTTACGTTTAATCCTCCAGTTATCAGAGTAATGAATTCTTGCTTTAGTATATCCTTCCTCCAATCATATTTGATCGTTGCATGCATAATATTCTCACTCTAGCACATTCGCATATTTCTTTAAAATCAAGTTAAATGAGATGATTGGTCTGGTTTGAAGCGGATGAATTTTTTCGCATTTTGGATTCTGTTGTTTGGATCCACCAAATCAAATCCATACGAGCAAAAATGGTGAATTTCTGTTGCTATTGAAAATCTGACTGTTTGGATTCAGAGCTTCGATTGAAGAAGGTTGCTAGAAGAATGGTGGCCGATGCTTCTTCAGCTGATGATTTATCAAGATCACAGAAGTTTAGCTGTGAAGCAACAAATGCTTTTAAGATGATATCATATGCTAAGTATATAGTTGTATGCATATTGGTGATAATTTGCGTGATTTACTTCCAGATAAGTAAAGTGGAAATTACACGATTGTTGAATCGACGAGGCAATTTGGGGCTTATTGCAATAGCAGAAAACAATGGCTATCGTGTATACAGGCAAAGCACAAAACAGGCAACTCGAGTTTATTACCGTTGTTCTCGCTGTGATTGGCTGAAAAAGAAAAGTGGTTTGGGTCGAACGGCTTATATTACCATGGTTAATGATGCCATTGTTGGTACAGCACATCCAGTGCACAATGAGTTATGCCAGCTCTATACATCATCAGCTCTCCGCATGAAACAGTTTGATCGGGAAACGAAAAAAGTGGTTTTGAAAAATGTCAAAGGCGATGAGGAGCCAAAGGTATCATTCAGTCTGTCTCCATTTCGAGCTGAATCAGTTATTGTTCAACGTTTAAATTCCTTGCATCGTTGTATATGAAGGAAATCGAACCATAAGGAAATTCGGTTTGATTTTTATGGTTTAAATTTGTTCATCTTTCCCTTTGGATGAATCTACTGACTGTTGAAATGCAACAAACTCCCTCACTGGATTCCTTCACAATTTTTTAATGTTTTTGAAGGACATAGCGGTTGTTTTCATTTTTTAGACGCTGGTATCGTCCTGTTTCCGAAAAAGTGGGAAAACTGAAGGGTTATATAAATGGGGAAGTAGTTTAGAAATGCAATATTGGATTCTTGTTGAGATCGTCGTTTGAGTCAGTTGTAATTAGTGGAAGAAAATTTGGGTTTATTGACATATCGAACATATCTATCTTTTGTCTTTTAGTGGAAAATATAATTTCGAATGTCTGTGAAGAGTTTTTTATAAACTTACCCGATGCGAGCAGTAGAATTATTTAAAGTTAGCTGAATTGAAAGAGCGTTGTGAATTTCAGCGAAGGGTGTGATGGGAGTAGTAAATGAGATAACAACTGCATAAAGTAATGTTAAGTTGGTGAAGAACCTTATGTTGCTGATCGTCTTACATATCAGGTTGGTCACAAGCGCTTGCAGTATTGGCATGATACATACTTCCAAGAAAGAACATTTCCGGAATATATCTTTGCTCATTTTGGAGGCCCTGCTAGTTTTGAGCAGAGGTTCGGTTTGTTCATCAGTATACTGATTCTTTTGCTTTATTTTCTGAATTGCATAGTAATGTGATTTTTGGCCATGATACATATGTATCATATACATTATTTACGCTTTCCAGATATTATAAAATAGTATTATGATGGAAACTTCGTTATTGTGGGTAGTGTTCTTGATATAATGTTTTAGTATTTTTGGTATAATGACTCGATATTTTTAACACAATGAAATCTCACTAGCCATTTTTATTTTCCTTAGTTTAAACTTCATTTTTTTTGGTGTAAACCCAATATTACGACCCTATATATAACATAAAATGCAGCTACCAAGAAGTAAAGGGAAACTTATTGGTAGATGAATATCTTTTTTGTTTTTATAGATCGTCTAAGCCACTGTTCTTCATTGTTCCAGTTTTCTGAAAAATTGCTGTTCTGTATTTCAGCTGTACACTACCACCAAAGGAAGAAGTCTGTGTAGTTGCGAACACGGCTGCTGCTTTGGGCTCAATGGACGATTTAAAAAAAAATGTCTCCTGCTGAGTCAGATCGAAAGAAAATGCTTTTTACACGACCTAACAATTTCCGTTGAGGCTGTTACTCACTTTTTTTCATTTATCATTCTTTTGTATCGAGAAATATTTTAAATTTTTAATCTTTTTAATTTTACGTGCTTTTTTGCTGCGTGCTTATTGATCTGTGATCATTTTCTACCGAAATGGTTTTTCTTCCTTCCTTTTGCAATTACTGTGATTTCCTTTCTGCTGATAACCTGCCCTTTTAAATTGGGTATATTTTATTCCAACTCGTTTTTTTTTATTTTGTTTATATCATCAGATTATGGTATGGTCTCCGTTGAAATTACCGGTGGTTTTAAGTGCCGTATAAATTTTCTGCTTCCTTAGCATTTCATTTTGTTATTACTGTGAATACCACTGTGAGCGTAATTGATGGTCTTTTATTATCATATTTCAGTTCATCTTGTGAAAATGGTTAAAAAAAAAGTATTTTTTAAGCCAGCAGCTTATTTCACATTTCGACGCATGGCAGGCTACATTATCGAGCTCTCTAAAATCTTTTTTTATTTTTTTTTTTACTTTACTCACGGTGGTAAGTATAATATCAAGTAGAAGTGCGAAAAAGTATCATAAACAGAAATTCATGTTGTATTGTGCGTATCACCAAATACGTGTCTCTGTTTTTGTACTACATGTACATTGTGTTCTTTCTACATTATATTCGATTAACGTTGCTTCCAGTTTATCAGTTTTTGCCGTCGTTTTTTCATCTCTGCCTCCTGCGGCTACTGCCATCTTTTTTTTAACTGTTTCGTTATAGCTGTCATTACTCCTGCTTTTTCATTTGGTCCTTTCACATGAGAAATATATTCGTAAGCTTTCGGGTCCCCCCACTCAAAAGGGGCTTTCCGGTCGATGTTACGTCGTTGAATGACAGCTATGAATAGATTTTCAATTTGGTCATAATCGGGTCGATGATGATAGCGAAGCGACGAGATATAATCCAAGATAACACCGAATTGTTTCGGACAGCCCTCAACTTTTGAATTATTTGGTTTTACAGTTGTAAGATTCCTTGAGTTTGTATTTTTTTTTTTACAAACCATCTCCCTGTCAGTGTTATTTTGCTTGTTTCATCAACTGTTGGAAGATTTGTGTACTGCTCAAATTGTTGTCTAATTGGAGTGTATATTCGGAGGATACCTTTTTGATTTTGCTATTGTAAAGGTATATAGGACTATTTCAATTTTTTTCTTCCAACAACGTTAGATTTTGTGGTTTACTCTCCTCCAAGAATATTAAAAAAAGACACATTTACCTGGAGCAATCTCCTATTACTGATCGTTTGCTTAATAACAGCAGTTTCTTTCCGATTTAAGCCTTTCCATGGTAAACGGCCCGTAATGAACTCAATTAACATATACATCATTGACCTTAATGTTTAGTTAATCTTTCCTTGTTATTCAAATAGAGGAAAGTACTCTGCTAGCCTCAATGGTCGTATCTTTAATAAAGTGGAGAACAGAAAATTATAGTCCTAGTAATTTACGTATTTTTTTTAAATTCTTAAGTTTCATTTGTAATCCCAATGTTGTGTAATTAATTACGGTGTGCGTTTTTTGAAGTTCGATTGCTTTTGTAACTTGTGATTAAATATCCTTCTTTACTATTATTATTTTGTCTTACTTTTCTCAAAAGATTGCAATTTTCATAACTTGAATGTTCTAATAGTTGCCGGAATTTCTTGATCATTTACTTGATCTGTGATAAAACAAAGTCATTTTCAAAAGGATGCGACTAATTTGTCATGTAATAGTTACTTCTGGAAATTCCTCGTATTTCTACCTCATTTATCTGGGAGAGATGGAATTTATATCACCCTATCATTAATTCTGTTCTTAGGTACCATAAGTCGTCATGACGTCCTTGTTCCAAATGTTTATGTACATTGATGCTGCAGTATGCGACGGTACCACGAAATGATGTACGTGCACGTGGCTTTCGTAATTTAAGCGCTTTAGTTGTCGTATCATATGTAGCAAATTGTCGTGATAGACCGAAATCCAGGATATACAATACATTAACATTTTTTAAACCGCTTGCAAAATTTCCTGGTTTTATATCCCGGTGTACAAAGTAGACGCTGTGGAGATCACGGATAGCCTTAGAATGGAAAGTTTAGTGATATCTTATTGAAATTTCGGAAACATGACAGCTCTTTCTTAAGCATAAAGCGGGAGGTCTCCATCTTACCTTATTTCACTATGTGTAGATGAATTTAAGGAAAATTTGAAAACTTTTAATGAACAACTGTAATGAATGGTTCCGGGATGTTGGGAGGTTATATTTTATGAATGCTAGGGATGAATTAAATTTTGTGGTGTCGAAGGAAAGTTTTTTTTTCTCATAGGAACTTCGGGAGAGATTATTTTGAAGAGAGTTTTAAGAGATGTTAAAAGAGATAGAGATAAATATGACAACATACATTAAGAGCTTGAAGAGCAATTTTCAGAACTGTAGCCATTGTGAATTGTCGATGTGGTGCTATTTTGTGTAATTCGCTGAGTGATTTCCCGAGTAATTCCATAAGCAGGAAATTAAACATTGCTGTACGACCTGAATCCAGTGCATCCAGTTTGCTTTAATAAATTTTGACGAGAATTTGGAGATTTTCGATGAACTGACAAATTTACTTAATTACGGATTATCATAAGTAGTTATTTCAACTATGCTTCATTACTTAATTACTTTATAACGCTATAATTCAGTAACTGATCGTGTAATCGACCGATGACGATATTTCATCCTTTTATTCAAATTTATATTTTAATTGGTCACTTCATAAATTAGATATTAGTTGTTATTACCTGCTGCGATGAAAATAGGAACATGTTTGGAATATTGCATACGCTTCAAGATATTTGCTTCTGCTCGAAGTAATTGGTCATTGTGACCCAAATCGCGCGATTCCACCTTCATCGCTACATGTTTTGTTTCATTTGCATGCTGAATTATGACTATTTACAATCGTTATGAGGAGCTTAATCAGAAATATATTTCAAGGTATTAACTTGTATTTTACCGGAGAAATTGGTAATTTTCTAAAATTTTAAATATGATGAATACCATGCGACGATATAAGGTTTGGCTTCGTTGTTGGTCGTGACATTACTTTTAGAGGAAAGACAGTAAATATTATCAAAAATTGACAGATTTAAATTAGTTCAGCCACAACATGTTGTGCAACATAACTTACTTTTGTACATACTTCAAATACAGTTCCACAGCCACCTCTACCCAATTTCTTGATTACAACCCAATCGCCAACTGTGTCAGATACTTTTAAACTCAAAAGTTTGCTATCGCTTCTACCGGACATCTCCCAATTATACCGGACATCCAGTTAGTATTCTACCACCTTTCACAGCCACATTTCTATAAAATTACTGTTAAAATAATTGCAACAAACTATTTATATCTTCTCTTATCACTACCATTTCATTCATACACGCAGTGAATTTTAATAGACACATTGTTGGATCTGATGAAAATTGCGCAGCTGACTAAAAATAAAGGAGAATAACTCGAAGAATGAACGAGAATAACTATATATGAGATGGTAAAAATTTAAAAAGAGATATGACTTCTTTGCTGTTCTCCTTGAATTGGGATTTTTGGTGAAATCTAAAATGAATGGAATGTGACGTAAGTGAATTCTATCAATGATATATTCATTTATTTTCGTGGTTTGATAGCAACATGGAGCTAACTTCTGATCCAAGAATTTGGACAAAGACTCGACATTATCATCGTTATGGCTTAATAACTGAATCACTAATTTTTCTTTCCTTTAATCTCAGGATTTTATATAACATCGTCGACAATTATCAAAAGTGTATCATTATAATGTGTATTCGTTGTAAACTGCATAATAGTTGTAGCATTATTGCTCTGAAATGAAAATGTAAATATACGAATGACCCATTTAAGTCATTTAAAGATCTTGAAGTTTTAAACTTTTTTTGTAATTTGATAAAAATTTGGTCTCAACAATTAAAAATTATTTTCAATGAAAGACTTTGCAGTGCTTAAAGCTATTTTATATGACAGACTTCAATAATTATTATTTTTTTATATTTTTACACTAGTAATGAAAAGTTAAAAGCAAAGAATAAAAATATAATAAATTGAAAATTATTGGAAGGTTTTGTTTGCTGATGTTAATCGTAAAATAGAGAATTGTTGTATCGCAAAAATTTTAATCCCAATTCAAAAGTAAAAGTATTGAACATCCTATCAGACCTGAATTATCAGAAAATTCCAGAAGAAATTTCTGAGGAAAAATTCCAGAAAAACTTGAATAATTGTCATTTTTTTTACATTCCTATACTAATAGTGAGAAGTAATAAGAAAAGAAAAAAGGGGGAACAATATAGAAACTATGGAAAATCAATGCCATGGAAAACACTGTGGAAAATTCCAGAAAATATTTATTATGGAATATTCCAGGAAATGTCTATGATGGGAAATTCCGGAAAATGTTTGTCATAGAAAGTTCCAGAAAATATTTATCACGGAAAATTCCAGTCAGAAAATATTTGTTGCGGAAAATTTCAGGAAATATTTATGATGGAAAATTCTAGAAAATGTTTGTCATGGAAAATTTCAGAAAATACCTATTATGGTAAGTTTCAGAAAATATTTGCAAAGGAAATTTTCTCTAACATCATAAAAGTACCGGTAAAAAATGATCGATTTTGCTATATCTTATCATTTGGTTATAATATTAACCAGGTTCTATAACATTAGAACAATTTTTTCCAATCATTGGATCAAAAAATTTTTATACTTGAAAAAAAAAAATGGAATGGTAACATCCATAAGATAAAATATATACTAACTACAGTATTGATAATTTATGGATGATTAACAGCTTATTAGAAGAAAACAAATGAATCGTTGCTAGGTTGAGAAATGTATTACATATTAGACCTGTGTAGCAGATAGCATGAAACTAGTTTTTAATTTTTGAATCTCAAGTATGACATCACTCATCATCTAATTTGCTATACATATCTTGAAATAAATTTAGGAAATTAAATATGAAATTCGTTGCTTCCAACAATTGTTTCTCTTCCATCTGATCATCATTTCTATTGAAAAAAAAAAAAGAAGGAATTAGTCATATCAGTTGGAATTTCATTTTTTATCAATAAATTAGAAACAATGAATTAATTAAGAATCTTCCAGAGATATTCAAGTCAAATTATGAAGTTACACTTTTCAAGTGCTTATCAATTTTTCTAACTTTGTAGCTACTGAATCTGAATCTGGACAAATGATAAATGAAATTTTCGCTTTTCTCATGCCTCCCCCTCCTCTCTCTCTCACTTTTTCTTTGTTTCTCCATATCATGATTCTTGATGAAAAAAAGAAGAGCACATTCTGCTCCTTCTGTTCAGCCAGTTTCGAAAAATATTCAAATTTTCGACGGAATAAAATGAGAGAATCCAATAAAAACCGACCGTGGTACTTTCATGACCTCACTGCTTTCAAAATTTTCCAACACAAAAAGAGAAAAACTATCATACTTTTTCCTTGGCAATTTATAAAAGCAAAGCAGGTTTTACATTTCAGGACAGGACTGCGAAATAAAAATGTTTCCCTTTCAAGTAGTTTATGGCATTTCTACCAGCAATTTCGTTAGTCACTAGTTAAGGTCATTTCATTATTTAAGTAATGGAAAATAAAGTTTGAACTGGTGCAAAACCAAGTTGGATATCTCTATAACTTATTTGCGATGAACAGGTAACAATTAAT